AAACGTAGGGACGTTTTCCACAAGACCCATCATAGGTAGGGACGTTTTGCGCCAATTACCCTTTTATTTAACGGTGGATTCTAACGGGAGTTGGACGGAAGGACGTTTTGCGCAAGAAAATGCAAAGGTAGGGACGTTCTGCACCAAAAAATTAAACGTAGGGACGTTTTCCACACAACCCGCTATAGGTAGGGACGTTTTGCGCCAATAATCCATTAAGAAATAAAGAAAACTTTGAGTTTACATGTAATATTTTTTTATTAAAGAATGTGTGGTTAAGAATAAATTAAAAAAATGTATTTTTTAAAATGGAACCCAAACAGGAGCAAAATAATTTTACACGTAAACCCAAAAAAATTTCTAATTTTTTAATCATACCTTCTTCAAAAAATTACTATTACAAAACTGTTCCTTCAAAGAAAAAGAGAAAAAGGGGGAGCACTCAAACAATGACATAACATCCTATGATTTCTTTGTGTCTCCACAATAAATCTACGATCTTGTGGATCTCTGTAATGTGAACATCTTCTAAATCAAATGGAAAAGTCATTATGGTAGCTCCACGATACAATTTACAATCTCTATAATGTAAACACATCTCTAAGCATTCAAAATGTGCTTCAAGTTATCATGCTGTGGAAAAAAAAATTCGTTACTGTAAGTCTTATTGTAGTTGTTTATTGACTCGTACATATTTCTTAAGGTCCCAACTGGCTAGGAACGTTGACATAATTCTATAATTTGTACTGGAAAAAGTCCACATTCTATATCTTCTTAATTTGCGGTTTTTATTGGTCAAATTGTACCGCGTTTCGTTGTTGCGAATTTGACAAGATTACAAGATTTAGAGCTACATTAAGGATTCGTTTGATATGATTTTTGTTTCGACTTTTACTTCATGTAGAAGAAATTTTAGAGGAATCTACTCTAATTTTTGTTTAAAATTAATTTTTAAAAACATTTCATATTCTCAAAGTGCTTTTAGAGGAAATCATATTGTGCCAACTTACACTAAAAGAAAAATCAAAAATAGTTTCATAAAATTAGTCAAACAGGTTCAAAAGCAATTTTAGGTCTTAAAAGTTCCTTTTGACTTTTCAAAAATCACCAAACGGACCTTAATTAATTAGAGAGTACTGAATAAATATTTTATGTAAAAGCTATGTTTAAAAAATCTAATTTTAATTTTTTTT